GTTCTGGAAACTTGTGTTCTGGTGGAGGGTGTTGGAAATGGGGGTGTGGGGTGCATGGCCACCAGCTGTTGACACTTATGATGAGTGGTCTCCTGGAAAGTAGGCAGCCTTAGGTCTTATTAGTTTCAGGGAAAATTGCTCTGTCGTATTTGGTACAAATGCCAGAGGTCAGTATTTGTCCTCTAATAGCAAGAACAGACTATAACCCTTGACCCCCACATGGTAGCCAAAGGGAATAATGATCACACACACACACACACACACACACACACACACACAGACACACACACGGATATAACACTTGGGTGCATTAATACACATTTTCTCATTTGCTCTTTACAATGGGCCTGTGAATGAAGAAACACAGATAGATACTACTTATCCCCACTTTACAGATAAGCAAACTGAAGCTTCCAGAGGTTAATATAGTAAGTGGATAGGAAGTAAAACCAACACGAAAACCTTTTAAAGTCTATACTTTATCACTATATTTCTATACTTCTCACTCACTCACATTCTCAAAATAGTAAGAACATCCAAGCAGCACAGACACAGTAAATAAGAACAACAAATTTTCAGACCAAATAGGCTCTTTTCTCCAAGACAATAAGATTCCTGTATCGTTTTAATTTTACAATGAGTAAACCAGTTGATTATGTCAACTATCAAAGCCTTTGGCTCCCAGAGCAAAGATATTTCTTAAGGACTCAAAGCAAACATATCTGTCTTTTTCATCTTAAAATATCGCCAATACTCACACTCTCTCCCGAGCTAAGTGTGTACAGGTGCCCTCTTCACACAGCTGACTACTTCTAGGGGCACCTCAGCAAACAGCAAACCATGTCTGAAATGAACAGACCAGGAAACTGTGGCCAAAATGTAAAATGCCTTGCTCAGCATCCTAGGGTGTTTCCGTGGCAGAGACTTCTGGTCTACCATACAGTTCCTCCCACCGTGATGGTTGTGCCAATGGGAGCCTCTGGAAGAGGCTACTGGGAAGTGGACTCGACTTTTCCAAAGGTCTCAGAATCCCTTACACAAATAATAAATTATGCAGTGATACACGATCACGTATGAGCATGCTTAGAAACAAAACTCAGAAAAGATGATCAGGAGGAGTAGCGGAAAACTGCAGAGATTGACTGGTACCCAGGGAAGTTCTTAGGGATAAATTTGGGAGCACAAGGAGGAAATGGAAGTTGGGTGATTGCCAAGGCAGGAAGGTACCTACAACCAGGGTGTGACAGATAAAGACAGAACCATCCAGACAGCCTGCCCTGGTTAAAAGACAAGGATTGCATGCTTACTTGCTAGAGAAGAACTGACATATTTCAAGCAGGGGTGCCTGGGTCAAGCCTGCATTTTAGATAGATCCCCCAGGATTGTTTCAAGATAAACCTTCAGTGTTGCAGGTAAGGCTGGAGACAGAGGGAAGCAACATCAACATTCCCTTTAAGAGACGGCAACGAAGGGAGGTCAAATTTAAGCTAAGTGAAATATCGGGGATGAGGAAGAAAAAGGAGGTGGGGAGTTCCCAGATTTCTGGCTTAGGTATAATGTGGGTTGTGATCCCATAAACCAAAGACAGAGAATGGAAGAAATCGCCCAGGTGTGAGGGGCTGAGTGTTGGCTGGTGGAAAGTGTGTGGGAATAGAGAGTAACCTTGGACACGTTGCTTTGAAACATGCACTAGACATCTGTGTGGTGCTGTGCAGTCAACGATATTTCAATGTAGAGGTCAGGGCTGGATGTACAAATTTGGAAGCCATCAGCCATTTGTGGATATTTGAGCCATTGTTGTGAATGAGACTGCTCCAAGAAAGAACACAGAGAAGGCAAATCTGAGAAACTCCAACACAGCACCAGGATTGTCGTATAAGGACTCTTGTCACAATATATCCCTATATGGTAGACTTGAGGTTCGCAGGGAGTAGAGGTTGACAAGGAGAAGAGACCACCTTGGTGGAAATTCATTTCTTGTCATGGGCTTCAGCTTCAATCAAGTGCATCACTGTGGAGTTGGACTTGACATTCCTTAGAAGATTCTCTTCCAGGTTGAACATGCTATCATTCCAAATCTCTTCCAGTATTGCAAATCCCATAACCAGGAATTTTACTTTGGAGGAAGCTCTTGGCTTTAGAAAAAGGAGGAGAATTTGCTTGAATGAAATGTAAATCCTTTATCGAGTATACATGTCATGTAATTGCAAACCTCAACTTTCCGATAATGAGGGAAGGACATAAGGAGTTTAAAGGCATCTCCTCGAATGACTAAACCACTTACACAGAAACATATGTCATGATTTCCACCATAAGTTATGCCATAGATGAGTCAAACTGGGAGAGCTAAATTTAGGACTTTTAAGGGCCCCTCCCCTTTCAATGTCAGAAGTTTCCGTCTGGCACAGGGAAGAGGAAAATGCTGACACAGGCAGTATTTGATTTCTCCAGGATATCCAACACATCTGGATAAAAATAGCTGCAAGGAACACCCACCAGCAAGACTGGAGTACAAAAGGTGGTGGGGTCCCTGGGTCATAAGAGATAACACAGTGACACATACACAAGAAGACAGACAAACGACAGGGCTTTGTAAGGATATAATGCCTGGAATCTGGGTGCCTGGGTGGTTTGGGGACTCTCACCACTGGGGCCATTAGAAGAGGACCAAGCTGAAGAGATGAGCGATCCAGAGTAAGACCTGATGGAGCACAGGGAACAAAGGGAAAGCAAATCATAGACCAGGATACAAGGAGAGATGGTGTAACTAGAGAGGCCAAACCAGCAGCAGAACTAGACTAAGAGGTGAAGTGGAGTCAAGGACAGAGCAAGCAGAGACAGAACAAGTTTCCTACAGGTCAAGGATGAATTTCACTGAGTTCTCACCATGGAGTTGCATCTATGCATGAATTGCCATCAACCACTAGGGTAGACTTGTCTTTGAAGCAGCCTCTGTGCACACACCTATGAACCCGCGTTGCTGTGAGATGTTCCACTCTGCCAGTCTTGTCTCTGCCACCCAACGCTCTTAGCCTCTCCAGTAGCTGTGTTTTTTCTTTACATCTTGAAATAAACCACATGGCAGGCTAAACATCATAGGTTAATGCCACCACAGTAGGATGGTAAATTATGGTTTCTTAGCTCCTTCTGTTCTCAAGGGCAATTATTATTTTAAGTAAGAGGCAGTGCCCTGGTTTCACTGCGTTATTGCAGGGCTTGTGCAAGTCAAGTGTACTTGTGGTGTGCAAAGTTGTTTATTGACACTCAACACAGACCCTTTTAGTTTGGGAATGGTGGCTCTAGAAGAATGAATAATGATGCTAATTGTACTTCCACACCCAAGCCATGACACGTTGACTCTAGTGCTAGCCAAGCAGCTGTGACGAGCTCAACACTAAACTGTGGCCATGGGGGAAAATAAATGCCACCTTTGGCTTCTAAGAACCAGAGTGTTGATGGCACAGGAGCTAGAGGACAGCTACGCGACAGAGTCAATGACATACCTACTCCATGTGAAAGCATGCTACTGTCGTTCATAAACAGCAGGTCGGAGAAAGAAAAATGACAGTATAAAAGCACAAGATACCACTTTTGCTTATCAGTTTGGCAAAGATTGGGGAGGAGTGCTAAAGCCACTGACAAGTTGGCAAGAATATACAGGAACAAATGTTTTTGAACACCGTCAGAGCCACGGTTTGTGGGGGACAATTGAGCAATACGTGTCAAAATTCTTAATAGTCATACTTTTTAACCAAATCATACCTAACTCTAATATTTATCCTCAGTGTTGATAGGACAAGGGCACAAATATGTGAGTTCAAGGATGCTCATCACAGCGTTTTATAAAATAATGACAATCTGAAGCAAATTCAGTGGAATCTGGTTGAGGAAATTATGGTGTAATTCATGATGAATGCTATGCAATCACTAAAAAATGATGATGTATTCTACCTTTATTGACATAAAAGATGTATGATACGGAGTTAAGTGAGAGTTGCTTACAACATCGTATGTATAGTATAGATATTTATATTTATAAAAAGGGGATTATATTTCCATATCTGTATATATTTACAGGTATAGAAATGGTAATAGAAAGATTTTCACCAAAATATTACAGTGGTTTTCTCTGTGGGGTGGCATCATGAGAGAACTATATTTTCTGATTTATAATTTTTCAATATTTTCTGAGTTTTTAAATAATGAGCATGTGTTAGTTTCATCATCAGAAAAAAATAAAGCTGTAAAAAAAAGTAAACTAATAGCAGCCAATATTTCAGTTACTACACATGTTAGGAGCCTAAGGAAATTAAAGAAATTGAAGAGAACTTTCAGAAGAGATTACCATTATTCTTAATAGCTCTGAAGTAATCTTCTAATTAGGACAGATTCAATCTATGTATGTATCATTCTCGATCTCAGACTCAGTGGGTTATAGCCTACATCCCAGTTGAAACAAAATGTTTTCAGCCCAAAATAGATAAGGTCATAAACCCATCAAAAATGATGACTTTCAAAAAACTCCAGGAATTCAAAAAAGTAAGACAAAGAAAAATGTACAAAATCTATTTAGCTTTTAGGAAAAAATCAGACCAAATGACTACAAAAATACCAGCTCCAAAAATACCAAAAATGCTTCAACAGGAGAAAATAGAGAGCAAAAGACTGGCATATGGATATCAAAACTCCAGTGTCAAGGAGGTTTTGAAAGCTGGTCATGTGTCACCAATTATACATATATCCAAGATCAATGTGACAGACACTCATTTCCAAGAGCACTGGTAAGTTTTTTAGGATTCTAAAAATCTCTTTTCAGTGACTGACTGATCATATAGCAATAATGTGAGATTTTAAAATTCATTTCATCATTGGTGACCAAATTCTAACATAAGAGAAAGGGAGAGAGAGAGAGAAAGAGAGAGCTGTTGTTACAGACCCATTGTGTTGACTCATATTTAAGATGTGCTTTGTACATAATTATCTTTTCTTCTCACCTCCAGGAAAAGCACAAAGAGGAGATTTCAACGATGGCCAAGTTGACAGAATCCATGAGTAAGTAACTTGAAATTTATTCTTCATCTTTGGTTTTGAATGGAAAACCACAAAATCTTGCAAAAAACACATCCCCTTGTGATTATCTGTTTTGTCTTTCACTCTTGTGATACCCAAGGTCTATTTAACACAGATCATATTGTGTTAATGATACATTATGTGTTTATCAAAATTCATCTCTCATGGTGTCCAATTCTGTGCTGAAATTGTTCCCCAACATTATGGAGCTAAAGAGTCAAAATGAATTTTGTTTGTAGCACTGCGTTGGGCATTGGGACCCACAATAATTTTAAACTGATTTTTAAGAGGTTTAGACAAAGTCTAAAGCTGAAGTTTTATGCACAGATATTCCATAGGCTGGATAATCTAAAGAGAGGAAAGAATGGCTTATTGTTGTTAGACTTGTTAGGTGCTGTTCAGAAATTTCAGAGAGAACCGTTAAAAAATGGAGTACTTGCGATGTAAGCAGCTTGCAATGATTTAGGTTTCGAATCTATCAGTGGTATAATGCTCTAAGCTCTTAAGCCAAATAAACAGGATACACAAAGCGTTTTGAAGAGAAAAGAAAAATTAATTATAATAAATCCTCCTGCAAACTGAGAAATGCAATTTCCTGTGTTGACGTTTAACTATTAAAGACCATGTGGATATGAAATAAATAGACAATGCAGACTTTTTTCCTTTGAAAAGGTACATTTTCCTAGTGATAGATTTCACATCTAAAGTGACAAGGGAAGCTTGCAAACACTTCTCCATTATCATTAGGGCCATAAACACCTACTTAAAATTGGCCTGCAAAATTAGCCATGGATCTTGCACAAATTTAACTGGCCCCTGTCTCCTCCTTCTACTATTCCTCAAATGCTGAGACTGTTAAATACAAGTGTTCTCCTGCAGCACAGTCAATGAGCCCTTATCTCCAAAGGTAGCCCCCCCTCCAAGAAAAGGTAATGTTACAAGGTTCTGTACATTGCATTTCTTTAATTCCTGACCCAAAACCTCTGCCTAATTTCATATGTCTTGAACACATGCTAATTTCACGATGGAAATGGCAGCTCACAGGGACTAAGGGAAGGACAAGGTGCTCCCACGTCTCTCTTCTGCTCTCCTTTCTGGGTCACTCCCTGACCTCACTTCATTCCACCCTTCTCTCTACCTCTAGCTTTGCAGATGGAAAAACGTTCCGAGGATTTACCACTTGGTTTGAAGAACACCAAACTGGTTCTCTGTCAGGGAAAGGCCCTTGAGTCATAGAAGGTGTTCTTCTCAGACCTGGAATGAAATAGTGAGGGTACCAGAACCACCATGAAACTGACATGCCTATGCTGTCAAAATATGGAGCGAGATTGGGACACACCAAGTAATTCACAATCCACAGCACTTTCACAGACTTGGTCCTAATCTCTAAATCCAAAGTCACCAACACAAAAGACTCACAGATTCTCTGAATGCTAGAAAGATCAACAGCTTGGAATCTAGCATCCTTTTCCATGAGTGGAGTCTGGAGTGTATGGTGCATTAAATCAAATAGTGTCTTGTGTGAGTTGTGATGCTAACAGGTTTTACCATGAGTCTCCTGTTAGAATTTGATCTCTAGTTCAGTGAATATTTTTTTTAACTCACCTAACTGAATTATAAACCATTTAGGGCACTATAAGAGATCTACTGATCAATATTTCTGATAAAGGTATTTTAATTTTTCTATATCTATTGGATCCAGATGCATTTAAATAAGAGCCCCTCCCTGGACCCTCCCTGATGTGTTGGTTTTCAGTTTCGTGTTTGCCTCTGCAATAATTCTAAGGACTTTGACCTATGCATATACTGGCTTAAGAGAATTCTGCCAAAATTGAATTACAAACCCTTTGGTAGATGAAAGGGCATAGCCATTCTTCTAACTTGCTCTGTCTTTAAAAAATTAAAATAGAAGAAGAAAAGAAAAGATCACATAGATAAGCTCAATGCGCAAAGGAAATTTAAAGTTTGAAAACGGACCTTGGAATCATACCCAACATTCCAGTCCAGTGATCCTGACAAAGATTTTTTAAAAATTATAAAATATATGACACACTCCTACTTTTCAAGGTGCTCACTATGAAAGTTAATCACATGGTCAACACTAACAAATAGTTCATCAAAATTAAATTCCTGAATAACGTTATATACAACTATACATTTATTCTACATAGGAAACCCGCAAGGAAATAAATACCTAATTATGCAAGGAGAGCCTATCAGTGGGCTAAGCAAAGAATTAACATTCAATCACTGCACAATAAATGTGATGAGAACATCAAATCCATGGCCACCAGAGAAAATGGACAAAAACAGAACCACGAATACCTAGGACACAGGGCACTGAATGAGTTTTCAGAGCCAGTAAACACTCTGCTTGTTAAACTGCCAAGCAAAAGCCATCTGGTTACTAGAATATCTCTCTGTCTAACTAGAACTAGAGAGCAGTTCTTTTGCAATCACCATAGGGGTCCAAATGCTTCTGATGGCTATGCAAGTACCATCATGGGGATGGGGTATCTTCTTCATCTTCTAGATGTGAGGAGTATTTCTTTCTATCACGTGCCATTAATCAACCACGTCAAAAACAACAGCATGCGTCATTTTCTTAAAGGGCAAGCAAGGGACGCTAAAATATTAACAGGTTTTCAAATGTTTAAGGAAAAACAACTTTATTTAATAAATACATGATAAGACTTCAAAATATATTGTCACATTGTAGAAGTGAGGAGGGTCATGATAAGGAAGAAAAAACAGAGAAAGGAAGAAAAAAAGATGAAATATAAGAAAATGCACTTGAGAAAAATACAGGGGGAAATATATATATATAAAAGACCCAGGGACACCCCTGGTGGTCCAGTGGTTAAGACTCCAAGCTTCCAATGCAGGGGGCATGGGTTTGATCCCTGTTCGGGGAACTAAAATCCCATATACCGTGAGGCATGGCCAGGAAATAAAAATAAATAATAAATAAATAAATAAATAAATAAATATTTTAAAGACCCAGAGAAGGAGCTATTAAGGAGGAAAGAGACAAAATCAGGGGGAAAGAGAAGACAAGAAAGCAAAGAGAAAGGAGGCAAAGACAGATATTGACAAGGAGGCTCAGGGGGTCTAAAATTCATAAACTACACACTTGCATTCATTGGCTGTGGTCATTGAATGTTTCAAAGCCTATTGTTTTTTTACCATTGTCCTTTGACATTTTAATCTCTGTTAGCATCTTAGAAAAGGATATTCTCATACTTCATCCATCAGAAACCCTGTTCCAAATGGGACAGCGGAAAACCCCACACTAGAGGAAGTTACTCTGAACTTGCCGGTCAGTAGCCAGGATTTTACTACACATGCACTAACGGAAACCAAGCTGAAAGCCTGACCCAAGTGGAGACTCCCAACCTTGTCCATTAATAGGCACACAGTGACCCAAACAAGGAAGCCAAATCCCACACTATGCTGTCCTTAGAGGTGAGGTTGAGGCTGTCGGGCTCGGTCCTGGCCACTCGAATCTAAGTCAGATGGTGACAAATTGCAGGTGTTGAGAGGCATGCAAATAGCCCGGGGCTCTGGAATCGTGATCTGTACAGAGTACCTTTGTAGGTTGTTCTTACATAGATTTCTGCAAGTAATTGTCTTCATGGTTGTCACCTGCCAATGTATCCCCCCACACCTGGGAACCTGTCAGACACCACAGGGGTCCATTAATACTGTGGATTACAATCAAATGTCTGTCTTAGTGATGAAGTTGCAAGGGCAGGACAGGTGGGGATGCTTTGCCCCCCATGCCTTCTACAAGTTTCAGGGCCCCTTCCCAAGCCCCACCCCCAGCGCTCTGCAAGCATTCTTGGAGTCCCACTTCTGCCTCTTTCTCCACATCAGTCACAGGTATGCAGTGCATCCCTGCAGCAGGAGACAGTGCGCAGGGCCAGCCATGGCTCACTCTGAATCATGACGGGAAGAGTTGACTTCTGTTGCTTTCTGTCGCCATCCGCCAGCCTCTCTCGGGCATGTGAGCCCCACAGGAGCCCTTCTGGTCCTCCCCATGGATCATCCTACCCAGGTTGTCCCCTCAGTTAACCCTGTGGTTATCACAACCGTAACACGTCTGCACAGGAAACAGTTACTCATCATCATCCTCAAATAAAGAGCAGAGTGGCCACTGTATCCTGAGTAGCTTCAGGGTGGTCCTTTCCCGGCCAGGAGAGAAGTGAGGGGACCCTGGTTCATCCCACCGCCCGGAGCCACGGGCCTGTTTCGTGAGGCACTTAGAGGTCTTGGCGGTCTGCATTAATGTAGAGGGAATTCCTCCTCCTACGATTAAAGTAATTTTTCAAATTTAGCCCAGACTTGAAATGTTCTAGTGTCAAATGAAATGAAGAGTGAGAACCAATTACAATCACCTCATATTAAATTAGCTTCATTAAAGCACAGTGGTTTTTTAATCATTTATTCTCTCCTCATGGAGCTGCTATTATCACTCCAGCATTGTGTTAAGCCCTGGAAGGATAAGGAAATGGGGTCCTGGCCCACACCATGTGCAGCGTTTGGGGGTGAAGGGGGTGGGAGACTACAGCACAGAGAATCAGGGTCTTGCAGAAGCTGTCTGGTGAGCACTGTAGCTGGAGGTGCATGCTTGCACGCGTGGGCATCATAAAGGCACCCAAAGGTTACGCAGGTTTCACCAGGCAATGAGAACATGAGTGCCCTGACCGAGGACCCAGGACCCAGCATGTGAAAGAGAGGGCAGGTGGGGGAGACAGCAGATGGCTGGGCACATAGGCAAGAGTCAGGTCATAAACGGACTAGTCTGCAGCTTCTGTTTTTTCCTGTGGATGATGGGGAGGCACTTAAGACCTGCAGAAAAGCTAAGACAGGAAAGGTGAGGCAGGGGGCTGAGGCCAAAGAGCCAGGATGGGCCCAGGGGAAACCAGAATAATCCACAAGGGCAGGAATGGCCACCACGACTGCTCCAGAACCATCCTCCT